ACCAAACTGTATGAATTAATGTAACTTATGCCAGCCCTTTCCATTTTTATTTTAAACATCTAAATGATTATGAAGTATTTTTGTAAAAATAAATAAATAAATATAAATTGCTGTTTAATATGACTTGCCTGGAATGATATTAAGAAATGTAGATCAGCACAATGGAAATAATTGAATGTTGTGGCAGCTACGAAAGGAGAAGTTTGGGGCCTAAAAGGATTACAAGCTACACAGCCTGGAGGAAGTAAGCAGATACAGATGTCCTGAGCAAATGAGAAGTACATCATGACCTGTGGCTGGAGGCTGTAAAGATGAGAAGATACTGTATATTTGTTAGTTTTAGCCAGTGACTTGCCTCATAATACACTTCCAGCTATCTCACATCTCTTTGACTCATAAATTTATTCAGTGGGGAGGTGGCAAAGCTTTTCTGGTACCCAGCAGTGCATCCAGCATCTTAATGAGATAAACCAATACGTCACATGGCATGCATAAAATTAGAGGCTGCCTGCATATGGGCGCACACAAACAGAACATCACAACCCAGTACACATCCATCCCGTACCTCCCATTGTTGTGCAGTCAGACAACAGGACGGGACTCCAGAAGTGGCCACGACCGGCTGACTTCTCCCCTGAGAGCCTGCGCGAGTCAGATTTGCAGCAGCTACCCTCCCTTCAAGAGTCCTCAGGGAGAAGGATCTCCAAGCTGCTGCGGGGCCATAGACGAAGCAGATGCCGACCACTCAAACTAATGGGAGGTCCGCGGCGGCCGGGGTGGGGGCTTACATAACTCTTCTTTGGTTCCCATGCCCTGTGGCACGTTCATGTCACACCCTCGCAAGTAATACAGATGACAACAGCAGTGAGGGTGCACTGTCCATCTGCTCCCCACACAAAGACACAGGCATCCTCCTGCAGCTTCTGCAGGAGGATGCAGATACTGTATACGCTCAGAGTGCACATATTAAAGAACATTGCTGTCTGACCCAGAGGAACAACAGATAAGGTAATTGTCATGTCTGTGTGACACGAGGGTTGTAGGTTACATATGATCTGATGTACAGGAACAGGTGTTCCACACATGCTTTGCTTCATGACATAAAACCACACAGAGCATCTGATACGTGCACAAAAACAAACAACTGCAGCTCTGATGTTTTGCATTATTTATGGGCTCTAACTTCTAACACACATCAACATTTTTTTTCAGTTAACCAGCTGAGGCACAGATATTTGATCATATATATATATTATATATATATATCATTTTCTCTGCCGTTTTGTATTCTCACATTGTGATCATCATGGTAAAAAAAAAAAACCTGGAATCAAAATAGTTATATCAATGGAGATTTTTTGAAAGTATCAAGAAGTTAAACTGATTTCAAACTTTATTGTCTCGCCTTTTTGGGCAAATGAATTCGATCTAAAATAAAAGTTTCTACAAAATGAACAATTATAAAATTGTTAACAGCACGAGTCAAAATCAACACCCGCAGGTCAAATCTGGTCTCTACCCACAGTCCACAAACATGAGTGTTTGGTCCTGATGCTTCTAAAATTTAGGTAGCAAACGTGTACAGAACCAAGGATTTATATGGATTTGTACTTTTCAGTGATCAGTAAAATACATATAACATACAGGTGACTGCATTACACTGAGTCTGATCTCAAAGTGATGGGGCTGAAAGGACATTTCTATGTGCAGCCAGGTCCACAGCAGAAGTTTCCACTGTGCGGTACATGATGTTTTTCTCACACAAATATTTACGTTAAAGCCTGTAAATCATCCTGCATAAAACTGGTAGAAATATGTCCCAAACCAAAATTTCAACTTTCAAATTTGGGCTTGTTATACAGTTAGTTGTGAGTTGCACTGTAAATGATAGATTATCTTTCTTTGTTTGTCGCCTCTGAGTTAAGATATTGTCACTTATGAAATATTTACCAGATACAAAATGTTTAAATATCATGATTATCATAAACACATTGTTATTCTCACCATAAATGTGTTTATTTTTTGTGTTAGAAACAAAACAAAACAAACAGTTGAAAAGTTTGTAATGAGGTGATAGCTGGCAATCAGAGCCAAGTTGGGAGAGCACAATGTGCACACTTTAAAAACACCACAGATTACACTCCTCAGTTAACTGAAACGACATTTTTTCCCCCATAAAACTCAGATGGTTTAAGTTGATGGATGCAACAGATAACAATTCAAACAGACAAGAAAGTTAAAGAAGACACAACAACTCCTCTCCTGTCCAAGCAGGATTTATTTGGCCTACAGGCATACGGTTACACCTGCCCAATCAAACTA